TTGGACTGTGGGAGGAAGCCGGAGTACCTGGAGAGAACCCACGCATGCACAGGGAGAACATGCAAACTCCATGCAGAAAGATCCCAGGCCGGGAAGCGAACCCAGGACCTTCTTGCTGCAAGGCAACAGCTCCAACCACTGTGCCACTGTGCAACCCCCATCTTGAATCCAACATTTGTTTTTTCAATAGGAAGAGGGCCATGTGACACATCAGACTTATTGAGAATTTCACAAGAAAAACAATGGTGTGCTTGGTTTGAACGTAACTTTATTCTTTCATGAGTTATTTACAAGTTTCTGACCACTTATAAAATGTGTTCAATGTGCTGCCCATTGTGTTGGATTGTCAATGCAACCCTGTTCTCCCACTCTTCACACACTGATAGCAACACCGCAGGAGAAATGCCAGCACAGTGTAGCGTCCAGCAATGGTCAGTTTGGGTACAGTCTGACCTTTTACCACCTATTCAACACCTGGTCAGAACGGAGACACAATATTGCATGTGTTCCCTTTAAATGAGCCTTCGCAACAGCTGGGATTTAGACTCTGCAAGTCTGAATCATAAACAATAACTTTCTTTCCCAAGGTCTCATCTGTCTGACTCCAGAAGAAAGAAGATCCAGCTCGAATCAGTTGCTAAATTCAAGAATGATTTTAAACTCCTTCTATGACATAATCTAGATCAGGGGTGTCAAACTCATTTTAGCTCAGGGGCCACAATGAGGGAAATCTAGTCCCAAGTGGGCCAGACCGGTAAATTAAAAACAACTTCAGATTGTTTTCTTTGTTTTAATACAGTCAATATAAAACAAGGCTGGAGCCTGAGGACAGTGTATCCAAAATAGTACAACACCTGAAGTGTACTTGAAAATTTGAAATAAATAAAAATTAATAAATCAATTAAAAAAACATTCCTTAGTGATTCAGAGCTTACAGATCACATGGATAGATCAGTTTCATGCAGCACTTAAAGTATATTCGACTCATTTTACTTTACATCCTTTAGCTTTCACCAGCACATCAATATCAGAAGTCACATCCTGAGTGGCAGCCAACTTCAGGCTGTGATTCAAGTTCTTGTGTGAGCCTTGAGCACAGCTTTGTTTTATTTTTACTCATTACAGAGAAAACTTGCTCACAAAGATAAGTTTATTTTCACTCTACATTGTAAAGTATGAAAATAAAGTTTACACAACCATCTCGCGGGCCAGATTTAACCAGCTTGCGGGCCGAATCCGGCCCGCGGGCCGCATATTTGACACCCCTGATCTAGATAATCATTAAATAAGCATTTGTTTATTACTACTTATGATAATTATAGTATAATGAAATGCTTCATTAATCTGTGCTCACTGAATGGATGTTATGTTTGTCTAATGGAACCTGCAATGTTTTCACCATGTTTTGACGACAAGGTCCTCAAACCTGCTCCACACAATAACAAGTACGGCTAAATTAAATCCATTACACATAGCTAACCTTTTACCCAGATCAGAGCCTCCATATCAAAGAGGGCGTGTTTCTGAGTTGTCTTGGTAACATCTCTAAAACCTGTCAGCCTCTGATTGGCTGTGATAATAATAACATCAATTCTTTAAAACTGTAGCAACATGAATGCCCTCATTTGTGACCCAAAGGTCACACTTCCTCAGCTGGGTCAAGCTGTCCTGGCTGCACATCTATTTACACATTATCCATCACAGGAGACACAAAGTCTGCTGTAAACCATCTTTAATCTGACAGCCTTTATCTGACTGCTGTTCCGTCTGCAAGACGAAGGACACTTCAAGATTTAAAAAAATAAATTTTTATAAACTCTTTTCACTGTCTATTACAAGGTTCATAAATAATCATCAAGGTTCATTATAAATGTATTTAATTGCTGAAATGAATTATTATTCTTTGGTTAATAATAATGTTCTGAGGTATGTTAAAACCAAAACTCCTCAGTTCAAAGTCAGTTCTTGAGCTCACCAAAATCTCTCCGTGGCGACGTGAGTTCCAGAGAATCGGGTCGGCCGCTCGAAACCTCTACTAAAAGCTTTTCTGTCACGCTGATAGAATTGCTTCACAGAAACGCCATCTGCAACAAGCTGACGCAAAACTCCTTCAGAATTATTGACTTTTGAGACGCAACCAGTTCCATCAGTCGTTGTGACCTGGAGACATCTCAGGACCGATCATTTTGAGTAATTTGCCAGTCCTAGAGAAAGCTTCAGATTGGCCATCTTTAGCATATCTCTTTAACCATCAAAGATTTTGACACGCCGTCAAAACCTTTTTGCACCTGCAAAGCTGATGAGCAAACAGTTCCTGCAGAACAAAGCTGATATTGTTCAACTCCTTAAGAGTTATTCCTGAGACGCAAGCTGATTCCAACCTGTGCTGCCTGGTGACATCTTTTGGACTGGAGAAGTCGGTGCTTGCGGTCAGTCTACCGGACCTGAGTGCCCAGAGGTCATCCAACCTCTCTGACCTCCAGATCCATGACGAGGGTCATCAAAAGGGTGAGGTAGAACACAGAGAGATTGCGTCTGAATGTGCTTCTGAAGATAACATCATAGTTTAGAGCAAACCAAATTCTTTTTTATCCGGTGAGGCCGTTTTCCGAGATTCGGAAGTTCTGACCAACACCGCATTTACAAATAGGTTCCGGACATTACCTTTACCTCCATCCACTCACAGCAAATAATCGTTAACCAATTTCTCATGTTTTAAATTGTTTGAAAAATAAATTCTTACTTTTATAAACTTGACTCTTTCTTGTAGCAACACGAAGTGTGGTTGATCATTGAAAAAGCAAAGAACCTAGATCTTCTGAATTAAATCCTAGAACCTTCTGATTAATTACAATAAAGACCTCGCAGATTAATATTTTATATTTATATAGAATATTACATCTTCATGGTCATAACAGATAAAATCATCAATTTGCCTCCACTACAACAGGCTTCCAGTATCCGTAGTTTCAGGTGCTGCTCATCTCGTATCTTCACACCATAGGCAACTGCCTTCACATGACCCCAAAGATAAAAGTCTAAGGGGGTCAGATCGGGAGACCTTGGGGGCCATTCAACTGGCCCACGATGACCAATCCACTTTCCAGGATACTGTTCATCTATGAATGCTCATACCTGACACCCATAATGCGGTGGTGCACCATCTTGCTGGAAAAACTCAGGAAATGTGCCAGCTTCAGTGCATGAAGAGGGAAACGCATCATCATGTAGCAGTTTCAAATATCCAGTGGCCTTGAGGTTTCCATTGATGAAGAATGGCCCCACTATCTTCTTACCCCATATCCCACACCATACCATCACTTTTTTTGTTCCAACAGTCTTGGAGGGATCTATCCAATGTGGGTTAGTGTCAGACCAATAGCGGTGGTTTTGTTTGTTTACTTGACCATTCACATAAAAGTTTGCCTCATCACTGAACAAAATCTGCGTGAACTGAGGATCCTGTTCCAATTTTTGTTTTGCCCATTCTGCAAATTCTGTGCACCAATCTGGGTCATTCTCGTTGAGATGCTGCCGTAGCTGGAGTTTGTAAGGGTGCCATTTGTGAGTAGCTAATATCTGCCGGAGGGATGTTCGACTAATGCCACTCTCCAGTGACAGGCGGCAAGTGCTACACTGTGGGCTCTTGCTGAATGAAGCAAGGAACACTACTGATGTTTCTTCATTAGTGACGATTTTCATGCGTCCACATTTTGGCAAATCAACACTGAACCAGTTAAGCGAAACTTAGCAAGCAGTTTGCTAACTGTAGCATGGGAGATGGGTGGTCCCATAGGGTGTCTTGCATTGAAATCTGCTGCAATGACCCGGATACTGTGTTCACCAGATATCAACACAATTTCGATCCGCTCCTCACGTGTTAACCTCTTCGACATGTCAATGGCATGATCCTGCCATGCCCTGACCTCCATACATCATCACTCATCTCATCAGCCTTCATTCATCACACCTGGCCCCCTCATCAAGCTCATGCCACACACCTGCCTCTCCTGCTATATAAGATCCGGCCTGCTCTCCAACCATTGCCAGATTATTGAATGCTCTTGCTTGTAGATTTTCTAGCCTTCCTTCCTGCCTGACCCATCTATCATCAACCTTGTTTCCCTCCTCCACCTTGCTTCACATCTGACCCTCGGAACTCTACCTGCATTCACTACCCACGCCTGTCCTCTACCACATCCCTCGCCTTCTCAACGGACCTCTTACAGATCTTCCTGGTTTTGACCCACGCCTGTTCCCGACTCTGTCTCCAGCCTCGCCCTCCACGCGTACTGCCACGCCTTAGCTTTTGCTAATAAAGAATTTTAAAGTGCCTTACTGTGCCTCATGGTCCTATGGGTTTTCAAGTCCAGTCATTACAGTCAATGGCTGTGAACAAAGGGAAACTTGTAAATAATTCATGAAAGAATAAAGTTACATTCAAACCAAGCACACCATTGTTCTTCTTGTTAAATTACCAATAAGTTTCATGTGTCACATGGTCCTCTTCCTTGTGAAAAGTTCCAAAATGCCCAACTTCAGAATGGGCACCACGGTCACCACCCATCTTGAAAAGTTTGCCCCCTCACATATACTAATGTGCCACAAACAGGACGTTAACCCTCTCAGGCTCAAAATAAGTGTTGATAAAAGGACGAACAGCTAAGTCCTTCAGGGGTACTTCTGAGTTAACAAATGCTTATGAAATATGTATGTGGAGGAACCAGGTAGGTAGGCTTTAACGTTGCACATCTGCAACGCCTGCCTCCAGAGGGTTAATACCACCAACCATTCCCATTTTATGAAGGTGTATCCATAGAAATGGCCCACTCTGTAGTACATTTCTCATGTCTTATTGATTACAATGGATGTAAACAGCTAAACTACAAAAAAACTCACAGCTTCTTTTAGCAACAATAACAGCATGGTGTGTAAATTGAAATACTCCCACCCCACCCCACCCCCCTCCATCCACTCCCCCTTGACTCCCCTTCCCACAGGCTCGCTCTGCTCTGGCCTCTTCAATGCCTCGGCCCTCGGGGTGTCCTGTAGCGCCCCCAACCTGCGGGACTACGTCCGCACACACCACTACCACCACCAAAAACCATCCCTGTCCCCTGGCAGTCTGCCGTACAAGATTGGCATGTTTGGTATGTTCACTGTGGTGTACACATGGAGCTTCTGCAAAAACTCTTCCTTAGACCAACTTTTCTTCTTCCAGCCTCATTTTGAGCCTTTTATTTAGTTCATTCCTAATCTTTTTTTTTTAACCCAAACTGTCAGATTTCCTATGCTATCTTTCCTTTAACAGTTTTGGTATTTCAGAGCGTTGGCAGCTAACATCTTCAGTGATGCTCGCTGTAACTACTGATGATGCTGCTTTGATAGCAGATTGATCAGCTGTGAGCATGCAAGCCTTTGTTGGAATGTGTGATTAACTGTGCTTATGATCCTTAGAGTTGACTTGAAAATGACTGGGTGGTTCTCTTTAAGATGTTTCATCTCTCATCTAACAGGCTTGTTCAGTTCAGGTTGTGACCCTAACCCTCTTTTCCACTGGACGCAAAAGCAGCGTGTAATGTAATAAAGGCATTTTACCCACGAGCTCCCTTCTAACCGGGAGTGTTTCAGACGCAAATCATCCCTCACAGCTCGTCCCGTGAGGTCACTAAATCACCAGATTATTACAGTGCCACATGTGATATCGGATGCTCACACAATAAGAAGCAGAAAGAAAGATGGTGGCAGGTATCCCAAAAGGTCTGTGGTTGTTTCTCTGTTCTGTTGTCCTTGACTCAGGTTTCACTGGAAATGACGGATGTGTTTTACTATTTAAAGGAGTGATTGACTTGTTTTATCAATGCAGTTGCAGCCATCTCGGGTAAGAATGAATGCCTTGTCGGGCTGCTTGACACTCAGATTGGGGGGGTTAATATTTACCGAGCACGGTCACCACTGCAGCTCCCCACGGGGATGGGTGAATTTATGTTTATGTTTATTTTTTTGGCAGACGCTTTTATCCAAAGCGACTTACAATTTATAACCTGTAGGGCATGTTGTGATCTGTGGGGGAAACCGGAGTACCCGGAGGAAATCCACGCATGCATGGGGAGAACACCCAACTCCACGCAGAAAGGCCGCAGCCGAGCCGAGTTTCGAACCTGCTACCTTCGTGCTGCGAGGCAACAGTGCTAACCACTGCACCGCCATGCAGCCAGTGTGTGATGACTTAACGGGACTTTAACTTTATTTCGCCCCAGACTGGCAAACAGCAACTCTACCACTGACTTGCAACATGGATGTTTTATCTCCACAAATAACTCAAGCCTGGAGGATCGTCTGTGTGGAGACATTGCTAATAATAACGGTTAGCTTAAACTGGGCTGAGGCGTCCTCTGCTGATTCCCAGATGCTAAACCAACAACTGGGAAGGATTTATTTTGACAAATATCAAGAGCTTGAATTCTTCAAAGTTGAGAGCAGGATTTCATATCTTTACTCTCCAAACTTGTAATGCTTGGACTCTAAAGGTCTGGTGTTCTCTGTTCTGCCTCAAATCTTTGTTTCTGAGCTCAGATTTTAAACTTCTTGCACAAATATTTTCTTCACATGTGCAAACATTCTCTCTCCACGGATCAAAATTGCTCTCAAGGCTGTGTCCTGGATTTCTTTTGCTCTTTCATAGTATAATATCCTAGCAACCCCTTGACCAATAATAATAATGCATTGAACTTAAATAGCGCTTTTCTAGACACCCAAAGACGCTTTCACACACTCTCACATTCACACACTGCTGGTGATGTTAAGCTACTTGTAGCCACAGCCGCCCTGGGGAGGTCTGACAGAGGCGAGGCTGCCATTTGGCGCCGTCGGCCCCTCTGACCACCACTAACACAGGCAAGTTGGGTGAAGTGTCTTGCCCAAGGACACAACAGCAGGATACCCCTGGCGGGAGCTGGAATCAAACCCATGACCCTCCGATCATGTGGCAACCCACTCTACCACCTGAGCTACTGCTGCCCCAATAGGAGAACTGTTTGGAACTGAGCAGTGACAACATGGGTGTGCTTGTTTTTGTTTGTGTGGTTTAAACAGATACCTGCATCTCCTTTTCCTGCACAAACAACAGGAAATTATAAACATGTGTTTTGTGTATTCTTCAAATGTTTCTGGTCTCCGTTTCAAGATGTTAACATGAATTGAATGATTATGAAAAATTAACATCATGTTTTCTGTGGAAACTGCCTCCAAGAGGAGGAGCTTTACTGAAGAAAAGATTAACTCGTCAGTCCGTCATTTTCAGTTACGTGAATGTGTTTTATATTTATCGGAGTCGCCTTGCAAACTTTCCACAAGAAGGTAAGTAGAACTTTATTGAAAATATCAGTGTATAAATGAATGTAGTATTTCTCTTATTTAAACTGAGAATGGTTAGTGGACAGGTGATGAAGATGACCAGAACATGCTAGTGTTAGCATTATGCTATCGCTAAATCACAAGTGGGTATTTCTCTGTTTAAAGAGTAAGTCACCCCCAAATCAACTTTTTTTGCTGACAAACTGTATAAATGAGTCTCTAACTGCGCTGTTGACACGTGTAGTCGATAATTTGGCGTTTGAGTGCATCTTAGTTAAAATTTAAATATTCTATCTAAAACTGTCAGTGTTGTGCTCTCTTCAGGTAAAAACTCTGCACTGCATTTGAATTTAAATCTGCCATTGCAAATGGCTAAGAAGTATCATAGGATGTCAGCTGGTACCATATGATGTCACAATGTCATTGTGAGCCTGCATTTGAGTGTATTTGTTAGCAACTCTGCCCTATCGGTCTGCTAGGTAACAGCATTTGTTGCATTTTTCAAACAGGAAGTGGGTGTGGAGTAAGACTCTTGTAGGGGGTGACTTGCTCTTTAAAAGCAATAAAAAAGGTTATTAATGTTAAAATATAGTTTTAATCAATCAATCAAACTTTATTTGTATGGCACTTTTCATATACATAAAATACATCTCAAAGTACTTAAGAGATTAAAATCATCCCATATTACCCATAACCCCATCATTTCCCCAAAAATACAAAAATTACTATGACAGTTGCACCCCCCCCCCCCCACCCACCCACCCCAAATAATCCCACAACATATGCACACACACACACACGAACAACAAATACACACATGCACACACACAAAATGTATAAATAAATAAATAAAATATCACAAGTAAACACTAGGTTGAGTTCAGATGGGTTAGGTAATGAATGACACGCCATCAGGTTAGCCTTGTGTCTCGGTAGTAGTCGATCAACGGCAGCAGCAAAGGCACCAGCCCAGGGCTCCCAGGGAGGTAGGGCGAAAACCCCCACCACCGCCTAAGCACTCCCTGAGGTGCGCCCAGGCCACCACAGTCAACCACCACCCCCGAGGTAGAGGGCACCACAGAGGCAAACACTGGCACGAACAAATAAGTTGCATAAAAAATAATAACAGCTAGTATGGATAGTAAAAGAACAAAAAAGTGATTAACACTAAGACATGAATGTCTAATAAAACTAAAATATAAAATACAAATAAAAATTAAACAAGCAATGCAGCTAAAAACAATATCAATCAAGGCTAAAAAGGTGGGTCTTAAACCCATTCTTAAAAACATGAACATTCTCTACGACCCTGAGGTCCTCTGGCATAATAAAGGGGATTTAGGTTTACAATTACATTAGAAAGTTGACTTCGTTTCTTTTGGACTTATTTTATATTTGAGTGCAATGTTAGTCAATGCTAATGTACATTTTGGAGGGTTTACCATGTGAAAGGTTATAGAAATGACTTTGTGACGATAACCCAGTGGTCCTAACAAGGGTTTACTGATTCAAGGATGACTTTGAAAGAGAACTATAACATGCATGTAAAATATTACTGTTGCAATATGAAAAAGGAAGTCTAAGCTACAGCTGTATGAAAGATAGATTTAAATTGGCTGTATGCAGTAACATCACTGTTGTTGTGCTTTTTATCTGCTGATTTCAAAGCCGGATCAGATGACTGGATTCTTTCCTGACGGAGATGGCGGTCCTGTGTCCAGAACTGGAGTGAACCTTCGCTGGAAGGACCTCAGTCTTCCAGAAACTTTAAAGTGGTAACCATTGGAACCACTCAAGAATAGAAACTGAACAGATTTTGACATTTTGACTTTGACCAATGACTACTACGTCACTCAGATCAATCAAACTCAATACGTTTGGGATTCAGTTTATTTAATTGTCGAGATGTTAATATTGTTGTTTATATTGTGTACTTGTTCTATTTTTCCTAAAAATTACTTTTTGCTTCTCTCCTGTGTCCAGCCACTTTATTTTGCATTCACCTTAGTCACCTGTTGTAATCCCTTTGAACCTAGCAACTGGTGTCATGTGATGAGTAACTTGGATGACTTAAGTGAGTCCAAATTTACATATGCTGGCAAAAATGTTATAGTATTTGTGGGATTAACTGCTTTTTCACTGCAAAAAATGGAGTTATTGATAAATGATGGAGATAGAAGTGAGACTGTTATGAAGTCGTTTAAGTAGAGATGTTCCAGTTGGTTGACCAGTCACGTGTGAAAAACTTCTCCACTGATCCACAGAACCATTCAGAACAGAGAAAGTTACCTTAGCATAACAACGTCTGTACGCGCAACAGCCACTAACCAGAACTGGAAACGACAATCATTTCCACCCACCGAATTCCCTTTCAAAATAAAACTGCAACACATAACATTACTCTCGTTTCATTACCTCTTCAAACCGTTGCTATAATAATAATAATAATAATAACAATAATTAATAATAATAATAATAAAATTCACAACACCCAAAGTTGTGATTTTTTTATTTTTATTTTCTGCACTTAGAATGTTTAGACCTTTAGATGTTTTAAATCAGTTAGATGTTACTGACAGCAGCTACGTTTAGGTGTTTCAGTTTCCTTTGTTAATATCAACCTTTCTCTGTCCAAAAATATCATTCCTCACACTATTTCATTCCGCAGTATCGAAAATATAAATGCTGACACTTTTTCTTCTGACATAAACAATCTTCCCAGTCCCAAAGCTAACTGTTCAGCTGATGACGTGGTCTTCCACTACAAGAGCAACCTCTCCACCCTTCTGAATAA